AAGCGTTATGCTATGACCCGCATAAATTGAGGAAAGTGGAAAAAACTGCTGTGACAACATGCGTAGCTGTAAATGCTTGATTTTGGTGAATCAAATACCACGAAAATAGATAGGCTTTGATGGTGAAGGAGGATTACCTGGAAAACAAAGAAATTCCATTTTTTGACCAAAAGTAGATTCTATTTGATGTACTTTGTTTGTCCGAAGGTGAAATAAGTCCCTCTGTTTGGGAAACGGTAACTTAAGTCAAAATACCTTTATTCCATTTACCGATGAATACAATCTTATAAAACATAGGCTTAGAGAAAAATATTCAAACTTTCACTCCACCATCATCCTCGATGCAGTTACATACTTCTTGGGCATTATCTTCATCATTGTCTTCATCACTATTATCTTGTAGCTCTTCAAGGGGCTCTGGAAAAATAGGACGAAGCCATTGCAATTCCTCATCCTCACGCCATCTTTCTGTGGATAGCTGCACCAAAAGGTTATGCAGACTTTTCAACTTTGTCCTTTTTATTTCATGATTCAAAGGCAACCTTGGAAAACTCAAGTTTTCAATCTTCTTGTTTTTTTTAACAACGTCAAGTACTTGGCGTTGGCATCGTCATTTCTGTAAAAGGTTTCTGTTTTCACCGCTACATGTTGTTTTGAAGTCCGTTTTATCAAGATTCGCTTACCATGACTGATTGATTCGATTTTCTTAAAAGTGGACAAAGCGGATTTCAGGTCATATATTTTCCAGTCAGTCCCAAGCTTTTGAACCAATCCGACTTGAGAATACAACTCCCAGTATTTTTCTGGTGACTTTAGTGTGCTATGGGACCTAATAAGCTTCTCACATCGTCCAAAAATGCGATCCGCTGGCAGGTATGAATGACCTCGTATTGGAAAAACCATTCTTATAGATTGCAGGCCTTTTGGTGCTTCTTTATGTAGCCACATCATTAGCATGTGAACTATGTGACTGTTCTTGTTTTGGCATCCACATCCATCAGAGAACAACGTCAATTCTTTCAAGTTTTTTGGAGATTCAGCCTTTCTGAGAAAATCGTAAAGAGCAGAACCAACTTCTGTGGCACCCCTTCCTGCTTGGTGTTCTAACCATGAGTAGAAAATTGGTCGCTTGCAAGGTATGTCTGTGATACAGAAAACATACAAGGAGAGTTGCTGTGCATAGAATGCCTCTGAAATCGGTACTTTAGGGAGAGGTTGTACCTGCTGAAGATCGAAGCAGAATGCCATGCCGTCTTCAGATTTTTCCTTCATCATTTTAAAAAACTGCTTTGCTCGTAACTTATGTACTCTTAAATTTGTAATAACAGTTTGCTTTTCGCGTTGGCCGTTCACCATAGAGAGCAGATTTAGGTGCCGCGTACAGAATCCACAAACATCGGTCGCCGGTGTACCGAATCCTTTTAGATTTCGCTCTTCCGTAGTGACTCTCTTGCCCCTTTAAATTTGCGATGAATGCTTTCACTTTTTTGCGCTTTTCCACATTTTTCTGCGAACGTCTGTTACCACCACGATTTTCAGAAATACCCGATCCAGCTTTCATTAGCCTAGAAATATTTTGTATGCGTTTCTGACTAATACCAAAAATTTTTAAAAACATTTTCTGACAAATTCTTTTCTTGCTGTTGGAGCTCCACACATTGTAATGCACAGTTATGTTGCGGTTTCTAGTAAAGCTTTGGTCTGAACGTTTCTTTCTCCTAGGAGTTCCAATTTCAATTAAATGAGACAGTTTCGTATCTTGCTTAACCTTGTATTTTTGTGAATAAAACTTTTGTCGGCAGCGCCTTAGATCTTCGAAAGGAATATCCTTACATGAAAGTTTTTTATTTCTGCCATCCTTACAGGAGATTTGGAAACCATCAAGGTTGGGATCAGGGTCATCGTGTCTAGAAATAAAACGGCAAACTATGAGAAAATTCCCCAAATAATATAATTTACTATATCTACCGTATTTCTTTCTGCCGTTGCCGTGATGTTGCACCCCATTTTCGTTTTCTACTGCCTCTGTCTTGATCACCAACAATATGCTCTTCATCCATAATAGTGGTCCGACCGATCTAACCCACTCGATATCACTATGCTAACTGAAGCAAGATACCGACAGGATTACAATCTTGAGACACGTGTCCAAACAAAAGGGTTTACTTGCTGCTCATCCAAAATATACTGGACAAACAAAAAGCGTTCATGCACTAACTAGCTTATCAAAGTCTATTTGTTTGTCCAACGCAGAAAAAAATAACGCTCTTTGAAAGTCTAGACGTATTAACGGGTGTTATATTTATCGTTTAACATCGTTTTGGATGTCCAAGGAGCGGTTGACAAATGGAGATGAACCTATACATTTGATCGTCATCTTTTGGCCAATTTCGTAAAAACTGCACTTAATGCTTTTTGAAAGTCTGCTCCTCAATTATAAATATATTACACAGCATTTACAGTTTTGGTAAAAAACAAGGAAACCCTTAAGTAAGCGATTTCGGGCGAAACATGTGCTTGAGCAGTGTCCAATGTAGCAATCTCAAAGTGTTCGCGATCAAGTTACGGCACCGTATTGCAGTTCCTTAAAAATCTTATTCCGTATGATCTAATTTGAGACCTGACTTTGTTTTTTGTACATCTATAGAACCGTACGCCGCTAATAGCTCTGCGTGGTTGACGCGGTTTTCTTTCAAATAAAAAGGGAATGCTGTTTTTGAAATGATCTATTCGAGTATCCGCCATCGAGTGGAGTATGCAAGTAAAAATTACTTGACTCATGATGTTTTTGCAATGAATGTGTATTACGCGGCATTATTTGAAGGAGGAGGATTTTACTGACAGGTGGGTATGCCTAAAATACGCACCTGTCTTCAAGGAAGCATTTAAAATAAAAAACAGATTTAGGAAAAAATTCAACCTGAGGTTAGGTTAGGTTTCTTGTGAGTGTATCAATAACGATCCTCCACTGCGACTCTTTGGTCTATTGTGGCTCACACCTATTTATATTTCTACCAGCACCTCCGACCTCTTGAGGTAGTTGATTAGCTTGTTTGGAGAAATATCCTTCAGGTCGTCTGGTTGGAGTACTACGTCTCCAGGTGTGTTGTACCTGATTCTGGCAATTGCACAATACATGGCTGACCGTTTCATCTCCCTCCATGCACAGTCTGCCCTCAGCGTCTTCCGCCATGCCCAACCTGTTCATGTGGTGACGCAATTTGCAATGACCAGTGTACAGTCCTACTAGAGTTTTAAGGCTATTCCTGCTCGCCGTTGCAAAGAGTCTGTTACCTTCTTTGTCCAGATTGGTATAGTTGTCTTAGCATGGGTTAACCCTGCTAATCCCTCCCAGTGTTGATGGATCTTTCTGCCCATATCTACAGAGATTATTTGTTTAGCCATATTGTATGCGATCCCAATCGCTGGCTCCGGCCCTATGAAGGGTGTGCTAGCCCCACTTTGCCAGAGTGTCAGCTGTCTCGTTTCCGTCTAGACCTGTGTGTCCTGGTATCCATATGAGACGGACTTCATTTCCCTCCCCTATGCCACCGAGAGCTTCTTTGTAATTCCACACTAATTTCGATGTCGAGTAGGTAGAGTCAAGTGCTTCAAGTGCGGCTTGACTATCTGAAAAAATAGTTATAGTTCTGTGTCTCAGTTGTCATTCTGCGATCATTCTGGCATATAGCTCTGCAAGAAAGATCGATGCCCAGGTTCCTAGGTTAACAGATTATTAATCTTTAGCTTCGGCACGACTATATAAATTGTAACGAAATAATTACCGGACGTACGTCGATGATAAGGTTACGATGTCAGGAACATGTGATCGAAGTTAGCTGATTTCAGTGATTATTTTTATTTATTCTATTTCATGATTTTAAATTATCATTATCCGTGCACAAATTTACATTTTAAGACTTCTATTTGCAATAAAATTACATATTTATTAAAAAAAAAACAGCATTTCCTCTGTTCACAATAATAGTACGTATTTTGAACCTATTTTTCATCTAATATTGTTGAGTCCCTAGAGTTCTTACCAAAATCATAATAATACAGTGGTATCAGCTCCATTAAAACGACCAATTGATTCTGAGAACATGGTTTTATTTTATAAAAAAAATACAAACACAAATAAGCATACCAAAGTGAAAATATTTTTGTACTATTTCATGTCATGCCATCCACTATTCATTTTAGCATAAGCTACAAAATTATATAAAACATATATCAAATAAAATAAACTGTACATTTCAATATGTTATTCCATTACTTATGGTCAAATTCAGATTAAAAATTAATCGCTACTGTCAGATTCAGTATCGCTATCTGAATCAAATGAGATTATCAATGGTTCTATTTCACGAGTAATAGTTTTGTTGTAACACTCTAAAATTACATCATGGGTATGCTTCACACATTTTTTCCAAACCTCTGGTGTAATTTGTGACAGAGCTTCATTCCACATAGCTAAAACATTTTCATCACTATGACCACATCTTCCAATATGTCTATCATAATACTGCTTAGCATTGGCCCATATTAACTCGATGGCATTAAATTCACACTGGTATGGGGGGGTACGAAGAACTTCATGTCCATAACTTCTTATGATTTCATCTATTAAATACTTCTTTTCCTTACGATTTCTTTTCACTATATTCAATAACTCCACTTTAGTTAATGTTGGTTGGAACACAATTTCATTTTTAACCAGCCAGTCAATAATCTCTTTTTTTGGAGAACTTGTGTTTGGAGTCTTTTCCAATAAAATGCTATGATGGGATGCATTATCCATAATTATCACTGATGGCCCTTCCAAGTTGCAGAGGAGTTTTTCTTTTAACCACTCAATGAATGTCTCGCCGTTCATATCACCATGGTAATCTGTAGATTTAGACTGTGAGGAAAATAACAGACTTGCTCCATCAACAAATCCTTTTTCGCTCCCTGCATGGACAACAATAAATCGCTTTCCTTGAAAGCCCAATGGTTTCCTTACACTTTTTATTGACTCATCTTGCCAATACTTTTTTGGACTGCCTTTTGAAAATATCCCTGTTTCATCCATGAAAACAATTTGATGCAAGGAAGTGTTCACATAGTCATTATAACTTCTCTAGAATTTGGTGCGAAGTAAAGCAATACTGGATTGCTCAACTAGAAATCTTCTATTACCATCTTTTTTATATTTAAAGCCTATGGTGGGCAGCACTCTTTGTAAAGAGCTATTGCTGATAGAAGCAAGCTCTTTCTCTTTAAGCGTTTTATTCAAATTTGCTATTGTGACATGTTTCTCTGAAACAAAACAAAAAATCAATAATTTGGAATGTACCATCTCACGCTCATTATTATTACTTTCACTATACATTTGATACACTGTATCTCGTATATTATGCCTGACTGCATCAGATAAATCTGTTGTCTTAGACTTTTTTCTGGGTCTCTTCTTTCCAGGTGATCTTAGGACATTATCATTAGATGATAAACGGCGCTGTATTCTGGTAATAGTGGACAAACTGATACTTAGTGCCTGAGCCACCCTCTGAAAAATAATATAGAATAAATTGTCAATCATATGACCATATTTCTAACTATTACAAACCTCTTGGACAGCTAACAATGGTAATAGAGGCCCTCCATTATCCTTTTTTTGTTGAAAATAATTCAGCAAGAATAGTACCAAGCCCTGTGATTGAGAGCTAAGAGTTTTGCCTTTCATAGCGAAAACTAGAATTAAAGTCTTAAATGATGCTCTTATGTTGGAAATTATTTAGTTTCTACCTTAATAATAATTTTTATGAGGAGTTTTTGTTTTGAAAAAAACAGTTATACACACAACAGAATACACCTCAAGACAGAAACACCAACGACCAAAGTATTGTTCGAAAACAACCTAACCTGCAACGAACTGTCAACACGCTGACATGACATAACCTCACTTGTCATCTTTCAAATGTGATCGATCATGAAACATGCAAAAATCGTCTGTCTTTATCGGATACATGCAATTCAGCAATACTACTTGTTTAGACAATAAAATTTTGTTTGTCTCTGTCTAACACATCTGAACCTTCATTTAAACATATTCACAAATGGCTGTCGTTTGTCTTTACTACAGAATAAAATGATCACGTAATCGTCATCTTTCGTGATTTCGACTATACCAGCTTCAACACCTATCCCGGTCTTCTAGCCATCTGTGTATGCACAGATATCTTTCCTTATCAGGTTAACTTGCTGTTTCCTCTCATTCCCGTGTGGAATTGTCACTGAGTAGGGTTTAGCATATCTTGTGATCTTTGGCATTATATCAGAAGGCATTCATAGACTGGGGTGGTTTTGTAAGTTGATCAGCATATGGGTCTCCTCCATAGCGATATTGTCCATTACACCATTTACCACACGATGTAGTCTATAAGATGTCCTTCTTGCCTCGCCTTCAAGGTATATGTGCATTGGGGGTAAATTAAGAATCACCTCCATAGCGGTAGTTGGTGTGGTACGAAAATTCAACCTTAGTTCAGAAATTAATTTATCGGAATGGGTGAGGGAATATCAAGAAACAGATCAGATGAGAGGGCTAAATAGGCAAAGGGTAGGACAACAAACCTTTTAAAACGTCTCAAAAACAGTAAGAAAAAACTGATATATCAGAGCAAACCAATATCCCCGTATATGCAGATACGCAAGAACGTTTGATTTGTAGTCAATATCTATTTGTCCCTCATATCCATAAGTAAACGAAACTCGTTACAATGGGACGTCAATTTCGAATATGCTCAACAAAAAATGTCAAAGAGTCGCCGTGCCTCATGGTGCTTTTAAGAGTCCTAAACTGATCCGAAATCTACGCACATGATTTTGAATACGGTCACAATAGCACACAACAAATCCTATAGTGTCGAGAAGTCTTATTTTGTGTAAAAAATAGACGTTTAGGGCTTCTCGTCGATCTAAGCGAAAATAGGCTCGTGACAACCACACTCGATTTACCGAAGAGCTTTTCGAAAAAAAAATTTGGATAACCTCAAACTTGAGAATAAATTGGACGCTTGTATCAGAAAATTCTTTCTATCGCATATCGTCGTGAAAGATGTCACATAATTTGGTATTCCTCTCTGAATATAACTGATTTACGTCATATTTTTGCTCGTGAAAGTTTTCAAGTTTTTCAATAGAAAACCCGATTTAAAAACATGGAGATAGACTCTGGAGGTCAAAGTAATAATCCCCCAGCGTCCCCGATGATGAATGGACCCAGCCAGAAGGAAAGAACAGAAATTACCAAGAAATCAAAGGAATTGATGACACCAGCTGTAGCAGACGAAAAGGACGGAACCATCCAGCGCCAGACCCTGATCATCGAAAGCTAGGCCCAGCAAATAAAGGAGCTGACTGAGACAGTTAGGGATCAAAACAGTAAAATAGACTGCCTAACCACCCAGGTAACACAGTTAATCAATAATGCAAATTTTAATTCTAAATTTGACAAGGCTGTCAATTTAAAAAGACCTCTTGAAAATTTAACTGACGTGACATCGACCGACGATGAAATACAGAATGACGGATTCATCCAGGCCAAGTCTAGGAAAAGACGCATCGACAAAACGAACAAAACCGACAAGACGGATGACTTCCCACCTCTTCCAAAAGCAAAATCAAAATTCAAGTTGACAGTCCCCTCAAAACCTTCTGCTTCATTAAACGTATCAACTTCTTCTGCCACTTGTCCTATGACGGTCGATGCAGCGACCACATCTTCTCAATCTTTGGCCACTGCATCGACTGACGGTGCATTATCTCAACAACCTCACGTTGCTGGTGAGTTGACCAGCACAGCACCCCGCCAGGGGCGAATCACGCTCATTGTTTTGCGTGATGCGACCAAGTGGCGACATCTAAACTACACCTTTATAAGCTTAGGCATTAAGATAGAACGCGCAGTTGCCGTTGATGCGGGAATCAGGATTTTGCCGAAAACTGAGGATGACTACCGAAGAATCGTTCGCCTGTTCAGGGAGGAGGACGTGCCCCATCATACGTTCCCTCTTCCTTCAGAACGAAATATTCACGCGGTAGTCAGAGGCATGTCCGCAATGTTTTCGGAAAAGGAGATCAAAGGGGAATTAGAACTGAGGGGATATACTCCTCTCCACATTATCCGACTCAAACGCAGTGGCGGCGCACCCATGCCTTTGGCGGTCGTGATACTACCCAAGATTGAAAAGTCCCAGCAGCTATTCAGTGAACATGAGCTGCTGGGTCTAGCAATCAGAGTTGAACTTCAAAAGAACTCTAGACTTATTGGGCAGTGTCACCGCTACCAAAGGTATGGTCATGCGCAGTCTTACTGCACAGCACCTCCCAAATGTTTAAAATGTGCTTCCGACCACATGAAACATTTATTCCCCCTCACAGGACAAGAGGAGCGAAAGTGTGCGAAATGTGGAGGGGCGCATCCCGCTAACAGTCCCACTTGCAGATTCACCCCAAGGCGAAATCTGGAAGTCATAGCGCAAAGACGCAGCAAGTCATACGCGGAAGCAGCCGTCTCAGCATCTTCGGCTGCCCCCTCTGTTCAACCCACTTTGAACACGCAGAATGTGGACCTAGCAACTGGGCTTTGGTCTCTTCAACAGTTCTCTTATTAGCGCCACTCAGGCATTGCAGGCGATCTTTCCGCAGCCATTGAATGGCTAAGTACAATAGACAACCTGCATTTATCATCTGTCAGATATCTTGACAAGGGGTTGACCTGGCCGAAACATACTGATATTTTGAAAACAAAATTCCAAATTACCTTTCGGCAGCATTATCCTGTTGTGCAGAAATTCAAAATTAAGTTTGATCAACAAGATTCGGTTGTATAAAATGGTCAAAGACCCGCAATCACCTACGCATGCGCGGCTAGGTGTTTTCTTGCTAAGACGCACATGCAGAGACTACAAGTCCTGCAAAACAGAACCCTACGCACAGTTACTAACGCCCCTTGGTACGTGTCAAATGAGACTATTCACAGAGATCTTGATATCCTATATTTAAGAGATTACGTAATACAACAGGCGCAGCGGCGTTACAATCAAGCAGAATCGCACAGCAACCCTCAGTAGACTACACAGTCGAGCAAGTTCGCAAACATTCCAGGCCGCGCCTCGCACTGTGATCAAAATTAAATTGTAAATTCAGACCAGTCAAAATTATTTCAGTATACAAAACCGATCAAAATTATTTTTGGGAGTTACAAAATAATTCGAGTAGTCAAAGCAATAATGCTTAAGCTATTTCAAATGATTTACTTTTTTCTTTGCTCTATTTCTTCCTTCCTTTCTTTCCTTCTTCCCTTTTCCCCTTAAACATGTTTGGTATCTGGCTAGCCAGACCTGACAGACTAACAGACCGACGAGAGTTTTAACTAAGAGCAAAGGTCCACCGGACCGCTCTGACGAATAATGACGAATAGTAATTTGGTATTTAGGCGTTGTTTTCCTGTCATCCAAATTATACATAATAGTTTTTTAGAACGTATTACAAGACAACAATTCCATTATTAATAATGATGTAAGTTCGGAAACAAAGAAAATATCTTGATCACAATTCATGATATCAATGGACCGATGTATTCAAAACATGCCTCTAATAATAACATAATTGGGCGCATCAATTCTGAATAAATTTCATTTAGCATGACGTGAATGTCACATGGTTTCAATTGGTGCCAGTTTAAACTTTCCCATAGGATCGCTTCAAACCGATTATCATTTTACAGCTAACAATTATTAGCTGTATTTGAACGAATCTAGAATCAAGTGCAAACATATCGTGCTACTACTAGATTGTAGGAAACACTGATTATGAATGAAATAAAAACAAATCGCTTATTATCGATTCACCCAGTGCGTTATCAAGTCACTTAAAAGCACGTCCTGTTTGTACTGATAAATATTATCTAGATAATATCGGACATATTTCGGAGATTCTTGTGGACATTGTTAATGGAAGAAACCAGTATGTGTACGCTAAGTGAAAATTTACCACAACATGCACAACCAATCTCTACTAGTAATTTACATATTTAATACCTATATCCTTTATTACTTTCATCAACATCAATTTCATTACCGCTAAAAAAACATGTCTGCGCATCAACCCGAGCACTTGTATTTATTCTTTAGTTAGATCAAATTTTACTATTTTAAGCTTTTACTTTTTTATAACTATTCAGATGTACCCAAGATACTATAATAGGCTACATAAATAATAGAGACTTTTCCATTTTTTGGTAAAATTCCTCGCTGATATTGTGATGTGGAGATGAGTTTCCGAACCGCTCCATTAGTAGCTGACCGAAATCCTCCATGAATAGAATAATATCTATTGAGGAATCATTAAAAACATATAACAAAAATAGGAAAAGACTCATCCAGACTGCTATAAAAGGACCTGATATTGCTAAAGCAGTTTTCAATCAGGCCCTGAACAAGACTAGTATAACTAATTGCAGACAGATAATAGATATACCGGGTGTTTCAAATTCAACCCTCTTCATTAGGATCTTGGAAACGGTTAGGGATACGAAGTGGCTTAATGGGGGTGAAGCTGTGTATTCAGGAAACAAGATGCCGCTTAGAAAGTTTTGGAGTCCAAGGTACTTCCGGAGAGTGGCGCGATTTTTCTCACGGCCGTTTCAATTTTTCCTGACTTTATTTGCCGGGGGGGTTCAAAATGAACTGCACACTAACATTGCTACCTTTTCTCCTCTTCAAGACGGCATAATTAGAATTTCAATATGACGTTTCGTCTCTTGTTTTCTGGCATCAACTTTATTGTTTCTAATAGACAGCGTATTGGAGCTTTGAATAGATGAACAGAGTTGTTAATTCTGAACCTTAGTTATTTCAAAACAAATAGAATCTTGAAGTAGGCCTTGAAATTGTAAGATAGTGATTTGTTTCGTATACCGGATTTACTGAAAAATCGTTGTTTATTTACTGGTTTTATTTGAAATGGGATTTTAAAGTCAAATTCTGAATTAGACATTGCATCTTTCAATAGCCATCTTCAACTTTTTTTCTCTCTTATGGACTCCCTATCGAAATTATGCGTAATCAAGCACAACTTTTGATTCTGCATTTAGTTATGAATATAACACATATACTTATGTCACGATACATTTCATATATTTAATTAAAATGCCAATACAGCGTATACAGGGTGTCCCAGAAGTCGACGTCAAGCCGAAACCGGGTGATAGGCAAAGTCATAACAGCTATCAGAAAAATATTTAAAAAAATTTTATGTACCTATGTGTTTTGAAAATTATAGGTCTTTGAAAAAAATATAGAAATTTCACACCCTACGGCAGTCTGTCAACTCCTGTTACTACAAATATTAACTCTTTTTGGATTCTATTTTTACAATGTAATAATGAATAATGCATCTTCAAACTGGTATCTCAATCTTACTGCCAACTTTTCTCGTTCAGGAAAAATTGCCACTTATTTCCCAACCAAGTATTAGAAAGTAAAACTTTGCTCAACTTTAACTGGCTGTACTGGAAAAAAATGTACTACGAGAGTTTGGCAAGTAACCTTAAAAGTTGGCGCATTTAATAAGGATTCCAAAATGGTATAACACTTAGAAGATTACTCGTTAAGTTATGCACAATTTTCATTTGAAGAAAAACTGAGAGTGCATAGTGCGCTGGGCAGCCATCATGCTGAAACCACATGTCCCTGTAAATACTCAGTGGCACGTCCCACAACAAATTTTCTAAATGATTTTGCAAAAAACCTAAATAAACCTCAGCAGTCAAAGACTCTGGGAACTCAAACGGACCGATTATTTTACCATTTAAAATTCCTGTCCAATGGTTTATCTTGAAGCGATATTGAGATTTATCTTCTCTCCTCAAATGAGGGTTTGCTACGTGCCACTCGTGTAAGTTATGCAGGTTCATGTACCCATCTTTCTTAAATGTGGTCTCATCTGACCATAAAATTTTTTCAAAGAACCGTGGATCTTCCCTGTGTCTTTCTAACATTGTGCGACAAAAAGCAACTCGGGGCTCATAATCCCGGGGCAGAAGGCCGGGCTGTACTTTTGGGCACACCTGTTTTTAGTTCTATTGCACGCACTGAAGTACTCGGGTCTTCTTCGACAGCTCCTAGCACCACGTCTTCGTAAGGAAGAAAAGATCTTCCCTCAACGTGTGATTGGTTTGGTAGTTGGCCCTCTGAGAACAGTAAGCGGTGCACGTTTGTGAACACTCGATGATCTGGATGACGAGCTGCATTCGGGTACCTCTCGCTGCAGCACTAGCGTTGCATCTGCATTCCCCATAAATGAGGTGCATGTTAGCATATTCTTGTACGGTGTACACGGACATAGCGGCACTGCACAATCACACTATCAAAGATAGTCTAAGGAAAGCAAATGTTGTTTTGAAGAGCAATTAAACAGTCCAAATCCAAATCACAATCGATCAACAGTCCAGTTCGCGAATCCAAAATTAGTAACAGTACGAAACCAACAAGCACGAACATGTAAAGATGCGCAGTAAACGAAGGCGTACTGATCGGTATCAAAGTGTGCAATAGCAAGTAAGTGTGTGCTTCATCCATACCACATACAGCGTGTTCAACCTCTCCTGCCCCGGGATTATGAGCCCCGAGTTGCTTTTTGTCGCACAATGTTAGAAAGACACAGGAAAGATCCACAGTTCTTTGAAAAAATTTTATGGTCGGATGAGACCACATTTAAGAAAGATGGGTACATGAACCTGCATAACTTACACGAGTGGCACGTAGCAAACCCACATTTGATGAGAGAAGATAAATCTCAATATCGCTTCAAGATAAACCATTGGACAGGAATTTTAAATGGTAAAATAATCGGTCCGTTTGAGTTCCCAGAGACTTTGACTGCTGAAGTTTATTTGGATTTTTTGAAAAATCATGTACAAAATTTATTGGTGGACGTGCCACTGAGTATTTACAGGGACATGTGGTTTCAGCATGTTGGCTGCCCAGCGCACTATGCACTCTCAGTGAGAGAGTATCTCGATCAAAACTTTCCAGGCAGATGGATAAGGCGGTCTGGTACAATACCGTGGCCAGCCCGATCACCTGATTTGAATCCTTTAGATTTTTTACTGGGGAACTGTAAAAGAAAAAGTGTATTTCAAGCCGATTCAAAATGTAGCTGAGCTACGGCAAAGTCTATTGGAAGCAGTGGAACCGTGGATTCGCTCGTTTAATAACCCGATCTTTTTTAAGAAGATGTCGAGCGTGTATTGCGGCTGAAGGAAAACAGTTTGAGCATGTGCTGTAAAGGTAAATCATCATCAGCAGCATTTTGACGCCCACTGTTGTGCAAACAGTTATCCTTAAGGGTCCTTGTGCGTTTTCATAATCGCTGTTTAATTAGGAAATTTTGAAAAATTTTCATCAGTTTTTTTTTCAAATAAAAATTGTGCATAAGTTAACGAGTAATCTTATAAGTGTTATACCATTTTGGAATCGTTATTAAATGCGTCAACTTTTAAGGTTACTTGCCAAACTCTCGTAGTTCATTTTTTTCCAGTACAGCCAGTTAAAGTTGAGCAAAGTTTTACTTTGGAATACTTGGTTGAGAAATAAGTGGCAATTTTTCCTGAACGAGAAAAGTTGGCAGTAAGGTTGAGACACCAGTTTGAAGTTGCATTATTCATTATTACATTGTAAAAATAAAATCAAAAAAAAATAATATTTGTAGTAACTGGAGTTGACAGACTGCCGTAGAGTGTGAAATTTCTATATCTTTTTCAAAGACCTATAATTTTCAAAACACATACATAAAATTTTTTTAAATATTTTTCTGATAGCTGTTATGACTTTGCCTATCACCCGGTTTCGGCTTGACGTCGACTTCTGGGACACCCTGTATAAGATTGAAAATTTCAACACGCCATCTTCTAGAGGAGAAAAGTGACCAAGACAACATGCTATTTATTTAGAAATATATACTAAGTGACATATAAATCCGAACACCCAGTTTAAATGGTTTTATTTTAATAAAATTTTGTATAAGTACTTAATGAAGCATAATAAGTAAATGATAAAAATTTCAAAATGATTGCACTGCTTTAAAGCCCTTTGACCTTTAATAATGTGTGGATGCACCCTGATGTGCTACGCATTCTCCAACGCGCCTAGGCATGCTTCTGATCAGGTGGTCAATGTCCTCCTGTGGTATCTCATCCCAGGCAACCACCAACTCCTCTCGAAGTGCTTCTAGAGTCTGAGGAGGACGTTGCAAATTGAGCAATCTCCTATCCATCATATCCCACACGTGCTCAATTGGGGATAAGTCGGGAGATCTTGGTGGCCATGGTAACAATGTGACATCATTATGTTGAAAGAAGTCTATTGTGACTCTTGCAACATGTGGTCGGGCATTATCTTGTTGGAAAGTTGGATCTGCCAGGGTGTCAAGATGGGGTAAAAGATGGGGTTCTAGAACTTCGTGGATATAACGCTGCGCGTTCATGTTACCTCTGATGAAGATTAAAGGTGACCTGGAACCATAAGCTATAGCACCCCAAACCATAACTCCAATAGTGTGATGAACATGTCTTTCAACAAAAAACTGTGGATTCCTCCTTTCACCACGTCGCCTTCTAACCCTGGCACGACCATCGTGCATGCCTAAACAAAATCAAGACTCGTCACTAAAGACAATACTGTTCCATTCCTGATCCCAGAGTGAGCCTGGTAGTGGAGAAACGGTTCCTTAAGGCCAATAATCTTAGGCGGCGATCTTCACGGTCTGTTGTTCTACGGCGGCGTCCAGACAACACCTAACTACAGTGTCTACACTTCTTTGCACTCTAACTGCAATTGTCCGAAAAGAATGTCCAGCTTCCCGAAGTCCCACTATACGGCCCCTATCAAACTCACTATGTTGACGAAATCGTACAGGTCTCCGTACTCTAGGCATCGTAACCGATCGTAAAGGATGTCAAGAACCAAAATCCGACAACGTTGATTCTTTACTGCGGCTGAAATGTTCATTTTTAGAGCATTAGTGAATTAAAAAAAAGCAGTATAAAAACCAGAATGTCCAACTGATAAGGCTGAAAATTTTTTCACTTGTTATTTATAGTAAGATAAATACATTCACCAACTTTTCTTAAAATAAAACCATTTAAACTGGGTGTTCGGATTTATATGTCACTTAGTATAAATACATATAATATAAAAATAAAACAATAAAAAATAAAAATGATGAATCTGCTACACGAAGC